TATGATATAATGTTCCTCGCAGATGCATCATGAAGGTTACTATTACGGACTGACCCTGGCTAAACAGGGGCTCTACCTAAACAGACGATGACAAAACAAGAAAAATCCAACACAACAAACACCCTTTCTTTCCTAGCACGATGTATGTATGTATGTATGGCGTTATATAGGGTAAAACAATTCATACACTGAGTGCCGAGGAAAAGGAGAAAAAGCAAAAAGAGATGGTCCCAGAGGGGCTCGAACCCTCGACTTTGACGTTATTAGCGTCACGCTCTAACCAACTGAGCTATGGGACCCGGTTGATGTAAGCTGTTGGCTTTTAGTGCTACATAGAGACTAGTGAGCACTAACAGCAGAACCAATTCGGTGCTTGTCGATCATCGATCACTCTTTAAGTATTCGATTTCGTGGTTTGTCAGATAACTTAACGATGTTTTTCTTTGCTTGAGCGATGATCTATTCTACTTCATAGCTCAGGTTACTTAGTGAAACCTTTAGGTCTAGGGTGAAATGAACATATTCCCAACAGTACCTTTGATGCATTGCACCGTCAATTGCTATACTAGTCAATGGGTGCAGCTGTAATCACACCAGACTAGTAGAAGCGGTAGTATTAGTACTTACCCATCAAGACTACTACAGGTAGTTACAGTGAGCTGTCACGGCTCAAAGCTAATAAGTACCTCAGAACCGAAAGCCACCCTACTCGACTTGATCTGAAAGAGAACCAACCATCCGAGCACACTTCGCGAGGCCTATTCTCCATAGGGAAGACGACATTCATCTGCTAAGTACAGGCCTACGCAATTATACGGCGAGACCAACTAATCTGATCACCCATGTACAAGACGAAAAAGAAGTATTAAATGTACATACATAAACAGGTGTTTAACATCACAGTTCTGCTTTTACGTTGTGAAGGTGGATGCTGGAGAAGATAGGCCCAGGCCTCAATGAATTTTTGTTAAAGATACCACAGGGAATGGAGACATGATACTAGTGGTATGCAGTAAAATGACTGTTCTGGTGCAGAAGTAGATCGAATCTATAACTTATAAGGTATGTATGCATGTCGCCGAACTACCTATGTTCCCTATGTGTAGGGTCTATGTTACTTTGCGCGTCGTGGATTCTATATACTGGATTTGACCATGATAGCGTTCCAGACAGTGAGTCCAGAATATTCTACCATCAGTAGCAGGAGATGTCGACATACCAAAACTTGACCAAAACTCAGCCAAGTTCCGTAAGATTCCCTTTGGTACTGAACAGGAGATGTATGTAGCGATATTCCAATAACATGCCATATCACTACCTTGAGAATTCATGGGGAACTGATGGGGAAAGACCCGGAGAGAGGGGACAGGGTCCACTACCTAAAGAAAGAGCAGCTGAGAATCAGATGGGCTCTTCGTAACTCCTACAATAAATCCTCTCGTGACCAATTTTTTAGGTTGCTCGAGGCTGACAGAACTAATAGTATAATACTTACGACAACGCGAACACGAAACGGCTAGAAGTTAGTTAGGATCACACCATTTGATGCTAGCAAAAGGCAAGTAGTGTCATCAGGAATGAGGTCAATGATAAGGCAGACCTGGCTTTGTTTCGGTCCAATCAGCCGAGCATGTAGTATAGTAATCAAGGTAGTAAACAGCGGCGCATACATAGGCTCTAAGGCATATTAGGCTTTTTAATGGTATGACTGATTTCAGCCTCAAGCACATGGCGTAGTCGCTCCATCTGCAGGCAGATCTGACACATGTGCTTGATACCGTATACAGCCGAGGTTCTTCAATGATGCTAGGCCCTGACAAGGCAGGACAGGGTACAAAGCACGAGCTCGACCATGGGGGCCACGTGGAAAAGCTAGGAAGAAGGTGAGATCGAGGAACGAATGCGAAGAACGTGTGGGGGCCGCGGGGGGGATCTGTCAGCCCTAACTTCCTAGTTCGGCATCTTGCGCTTAGCCACGCCGCCAGCAGTGTATCGCGCCACCTTTCCGCCCCAAATTGAAACAATCTGGCCCCAATCGGGTAAGCAGTGCCCCAGGGGACCAGTGACCTCTTCAATTGCTAGGGAGATTCAGAGCTCGTTAGCGAGTGGCGAAGGTGACTAACGGCCAGTCCGGCTTCGTTTTTCGATTTGTCTCTGTAGGTTCAATCCAGGCCAAGCGGCCATCTTAGTGGTGTGATCGTCTAGCTGCGCAGAGAAGAAGATTTTTCATATGCAGGTCGGAGGGGCTCGCAAAGTCTGACGGCACCAGTACTGCCATATATGGTAAAAGCTCCATTAGACCAAAGGCGCAGCTTTCCGGTAGCCTATGCCGAAAGCAGATACAGATGATGATGGTTCCTTTTGCTTGACCAATGACTATTAAGAAAGAAACAGCACGGGTTCGACCATATAGGTAGATGGTGGCGGTGGAGAGAACCGTGCGCACAAGGTGAGGACATGCAGCGTCCAAAAGTTCATGAGCCGACTTCCTGATTGTAGAGCTACCGCGAGGAGGCAAAGCACACGAAAGCAATTCCTAATGCCGGGGGGTCATTTCGTGTAGCAGTGTGGATACTTTTGAGTGTTCCCCAGTCCAAAAGTTCGGCTTGCCCGGTCGCATATGCCAGCTTACCCTCGTTCAAAGGAATAGAGTGGTTGGTGGGGGCCAAGTGTTGTGCATCTTCCAACAAAGCAATGGGATCGTGGAGTTATGTCCTAGGATGAGACTCCTTCCATCAACGGCAGTGAGTTGCACCTAATGTTAGCTCCTGAAACCCCGAAGTTTAGAGTGCAACTTGTGTGACCGTGTGTTCTTGTCGATCGTCGGATAGTAACCAGTCTCTGGGCTATTGGTCTCTAGTGCTGGTGGAATGGACTTCTAGAAGGAATGCTAGAATGAGCTAGCCATATTCATCGGCCAATCAAATCTTTCTTCATCTGCCAACCCTGCAAAGGTTGAAGCACCAACACGTTTGCTCTGATGCGGAGATGAACCGCATAACAGCACACAAAGAGCGGAAAGGTCATACTAGGTTGTAAGAGATTCGAAAAGGGTTTGAAACACACTGCTGATGTCCTAGCGATCATGCAGGTCGATGTCGACCCCAAGATCTTGCATATGCAAAACGCGGGGAAGCAGGGAGCCAACGACATCTGTATGTTAGTCTCATATGGGTGGCAGACAGGCGCATCAGAGATGGCTGTGCAGACTGAGGGATTATAGGCTATTGAGCCAGCTGCTGATGAGGTTCTCTCAGCGTGAATAGGATTTACATGTTGCGCTCCATATTCAAAAGACAATTGTAACGGATTGATGCTCGGTAGACCCATGGAGGTGTCTGGTGGAAGCCAGCCATTCGAGACCCAGAGATTTTGGCAGCGTAAAGGAGTGTGCACGAGCCGACATTTAGCCCGCGTAACTTCCACTGTGGTGTTAGGAAGAGGGAAACAGCAAGTGTGGGATCCACTGGGCGGAGATTGCAGGGCTGGGATACATACTCTACACTGACTCGAGGTATAGCAGGTGGGAACATGAAGCTCATCCATATCCTACTAGCTGTAGAGCTTAAAGCTACTTTAAAGCTTCTAGAGTATTCTCAGCTGGCATGACCGTGCACTGTTTCACCATCGTGTCAGGTAACAAGATTATAGAATGGATAGAATATAGGGTATGACAACTCGACACGAGGCATTGTGACTTCCTGATTGGCCTCGAGAGCTGCAATCACGTGGAAGCCACGTGGACTCGGTCGCAACTCGAAAAGGAGGACAACAAAGGCAATTTCATCTCAGAAGTCTCCTTTGCATCTAAGCTTTATGAATGCCATATAGCACGCACTCAGGCGTTGAAGGCATCTGAGCGACCGTGATCCACGATGTCCCCGAATTCCCTGATCGCCTGTTTAGGTAGATCCCGAGTCCCGGGAGAAGCTGCTCCTCAATCAATCACAATCACAATCACTCCATGACGAAAGCGTCTCCCATCTCCGGCCCTGGATCGACGGACGCGTCGGCACTTCTTTTTGCTTGGAGGTGTCTGGTACAATTGTCCAATGAATTCCAGTCGCAATATCTGGCACTCCCGAAAACCCTTCCAAATAGGGGCTAGACGCCGTTCCCACTTTTCTGGCAACTGGTCCAGGTCCGGACTACAAAGTACGAACTTGCCAACGACCAGCTCCGTTAGGGAGTTCCTCCGTGGTGAGTGACCCCTGCTACCTTGATTTTCTTTTATTATGCTTATTAAAACTTCTCCTCCGCTGCCTAATTGCCAGCGGCCGCAGTGAAAAAAGAACCATAATATCAGGCCACCGCTTAGGCCACGTGCGGACGATGGAGCTTCGCTGATAAGCCCTGCACGGTTGGGGCCAAGATGAAATCCTCAAATGCTGACGCTCAGGTCGATTTGCTTCTGTTGGCTTCACTGATGCATGAGACAACTTGAAAGCCTCGCATCTGCACCATAAGGACTGAACCTTGTCCCCGTTTCTCCATCATGCGAACCCCCGATGGTCGGGGCGCAGTCCATCGAAACAGCTAATATCCGACAACGACCTAGCGCGGTTCAAAGAGTTAGCTTGATTAAACCAAATTGCGCCTCGATTGCAAGGCACTCAAGGTCTGACAGGCCGGGTGGAGATGGCCGCCAATGCGCCCCCACTTACCCTCAAGCGTGGCCGGGAGAAACCCGGTGATCCTGTTTGCGACGCTAGCTAGTCACTGTAGCCGTGCTGAATTCTAGAATCCACGCCGTGCTGATGGAAGGATGAAAACCAGCCCCCAGAGTCATGGTTGGATTACATCACTAGCCAGCGTTAGGGTCTACAGCCACGATCCTCGCATTGGCTGTTCACATTTTTCATTAACTGCCCGCTCCTGGCCCCTAAATCATGGATAGATGAAAAACCCGATGGGCCCCGGAGCCAGTTCGTCGTCTGTTATAGGAATTGTTTCTCCCACGATGCCCCTACGTGTACCAAATTTTCTGTAAAGCCACAGATATGTCCAGTCCCTTTGGTGAGCCGCCCAAGGGCCTCAATCTCGAGGAGGACAGCACGGGGAGAAATGACGCTGTCGTCGTCTGCATGTATGCCCTGGCCTTTGTGACCATTGGCTTTCGGTTATTTTCCCGGATGAAGGTCCAGCAGGCCAGCATAGGGCTCGATGACTGGCTGATAGTAGGGGCACTGGTATGTTGTACTCTTTCCTGTGAGAACTATTGTTCTAATTATACTACAGTTATCAGGTACAGCCAACATGGCCTGTGCAATAGCCGGTATGCAATCAACCACCCTACCCAACCATTTAAGATGCTAACCTTCTTTTTAGGAGGACACTATGGCCTTGGTAAACATGTTTGGGTTGTCACTCTAGATGAAATAATTAACATGGTGCATGTAAGATACCCTTGGTAGCCTTCTCTCGAGGAATGTCAAACTCACATCAATGCTTTAGGTACTATACGCCAACGTGCTCCTTTATATCCTCACCGTTCCCCTCATCAAAGTCTCCATCATACTCTCGTATCGCCGACTCTTTGGTATGCAGTGGACCATGTGGGCTTGCATCGTCCTGTCCATCGCCTACTGGATAGGCTGCTCAGTCGCCTTTCTATGCTCCTGCCAACCGGTTTCATATTTCTGGACACAATACAAAAACTCCCTCGGCGGCTACGTCCGTTATGATATTTACCCATTCTACATTGCTCATGCCGTCGCCAACATGGCCGGCGACCTTCTCATCCTTCTCGTTCCGATTCCGCTAGTTTGGCGTTTGAAGTTACGAGTGGGACAGAAGATCCAAATTCTAAGCATCTTCCTTCTCGGTGGCTTGTAAGTCAACTACAACCCATCCCCGCCCTTCCCCCAATTAACCCCAACTAATAAATAACCAACAACAGTGTCTGTGTCGCCAGCGCCATCCGCATCTACTACTTCACCTTCATCAACGACGTCGACGTGACCTGGAACCTGGGCAACGTTTTCATCTGGTCCAGTGTTGAACCATCCATCGGCATCGTCTGTGCCTGCCTCCCCGTCCTCCAACCCCTTTTCCGAACAATTATCAACCGCCGGAGCATGCCAAACCGACCCACCACAAAAGGCGTCCGCTTCGCACCCGATATCATGAGCAAGATCCACGGCGACGATCGGAAACAGACACGAGAAGATGAAGCCGTGTTAACGACAACGTCGGTACATATCGAAATGGACGGTGCAGGCAAGGGGAGGATTAGCGATGAAGAAGAAGCCATGGGGTACGATTTAATGTCTATCAAGGTGCAAAAGGATTTCCAAATGGAGGAAGAGCATCGTCGATAACTTTTTTTTATGGTGTTATGTTGCGGGTGTTTATCGGGCATCTTTTACATTTTGTTTCGATCGATCGTTTAGCGTATGGGTGGGGTTCTTTTCAAGCTTGTACATACATAGACTTACTTACCTCAAGGTACATACCCTTCCCTCCCTACTGGAGAGATAATACGATAATCTCCACAAAGTCACGATGTTGTGTTGCAGGTTGTATTTATAGTAGAAAGTAGAAATATTAATTTTGTAATTTACATTGACTGCTGATACTTGAATTAGGTATTTACCGACTAGTATTTTGAGCTGAGCTGGCTGGATCATGTCATGTGTCTAGGGCAAATGCTTTCTCAGTGTTTAGGGTTTCATTGCAAACCTTGGTTGCTGCTTCAGAACCAGTGAAAGACTTTGACTAGTATTTCGAATACTAATATATTTGGCCAACATCCGATGTGAGGAAAATGGAGTGGGTTCTTGAGGAATCTTGAATTTTTCGTCAATATGTGAGTGGGCCGAGGCTGGTAGAGATGTATTTATACCGATCATGCGAAGCGGTCACCATTTATATATCCGCTGTACTTAGTCCACACACTAAGTTTTGCGACATCAAGCCGATGCCAATGATGGGTGATATGGCGAGTTAATCTTTCTTACCCTAGTACGACAGCATCGTCTACATATGAAGATGAAACTAGTCTAGTCCATCATAACTGATATTTTTTTTTCTCTTACTAGTATGGCAGAAAACGGTATCATGAAAACTCAACAGCCTGGATGATTTTAGAGAACATGAGACAGGCAATGAATATCTGCAAATAGGCCTTGCCGAAGTCATTTCCTATGTCTTCTCGTCGGTAAACGGAGTAATTTTTCCCATCTTCATTAGCCCTCTACCACCCGGAGGCGCTGGCCCCGACTAGCTCTTCATTCTCTTCCAGGGACGCACGTACATCTCATGCTGGTAGGCAAACCAAAAGCTCTCAATCCGCCACGGGCGGGTGGTGTCCACCAGTTCGATGTCGAAGGTATGCAACATCAGGGCAATGAACTTCAGCATTTCAACCTGCATATTGATTGCGTTCGTCAGCGGTGATGCTTGCTTCTAAGAAAGGGGCACATAGCAAAGCAAAAAGAAGAGAGAGAGAGAGAGAGAGAGAGGAAAATATAACCCTTACCAAGGCAATATTACGCCCAATGCACATGCGGGGACCATTCCCACCGAAGGTCATCGTGACCGACTCAAAGTAGCGGGCGCGGACGGGGTCCTCGAGCCATCGCTCCGGGCGAAAGCAGTCGGCGTCTTCGCCCCAAACGGCGCGATCGCGGTTCTGGGCCCGCGGGCTGATGTCAACCGCCGTGCCAGCAGGGATCGCGTGACCTGCCACTGTCATTCCCCCCGGGGAGGGGGCCCGTCGGAGCAGCTGGTAGACAATGCTGGGGTGCAGGCGCGTCGCCTCGGACACCACTGCCTGCAGGTACGGCAGCTGTCGGGCCTCGTTATAGGGGATTCCTTGCTGACCCGGTCGGGCGGCGAAGTACTCGTCGATCTCGGCCTGGAGACGCTTATATACTGCCGGGTGGCTGCACACGTAGTACAGGCAAGCCCGCATACCGATGGAAGTCGTGTCAGCTCCTGCTCCTCTGTATTGGGGTTGTTAGCCATGAGGTAAGGGTGGGCTCACGGGGTCTGTTTGGTTCAGGTCGTACATGATACTCATGGCCTCGATGAGCACCTCCCCCTCCGACGCCGGGTTCCCATTGGCATCCTTCATCTGGACGAAGTGATGGAGCATGTCCTTGCGGGTGGACTTCCCCGGGGTGGGTGCGGCGCTCTCCTGCATACGGGCTCGAACGCGGTTAACGCTCCACTGCCGGAAGTGGAGGAAGCTGTTTGGTATGCCCAGCCAGCGCGTAAAGGCAGCGGCCGTCGGGGAGGTCAGGAACCGGCTCTTGCCGGGGTAGTGGCCCAGATTGGCCATCCAGAAGAAGCCGGTGAGGATGGCCTGGCGGATGCCCATGACGTCGGAGCCGGTGCGGACGTGCCCTAGCTGGCTGCCGTAGGCAAGCTCGCCGACGATGTCGTAGGCGACGGCATTGGTCCACTCGGCCATGTCGACGGCTTTCCCACTGTCTGCGCGAGCGGACAGCTGGTCTAGCAGAAGGACGAAGCAGCCCTGGATATAGGCCTCGAACTCGAGGATGGCGGTCATGGAGAAGGCGCGCGAGACACGCCGGCGGAGGAAGCTGTGCTCGGTCCGGTCCCGCGTTGCGAACAGCCCCGAGGCCGTGCCGGGGACGTCCCAGGTCTCGTACCAGTCGGTCTTGACCACCTGCGTGCCATGGCCGTAAAGCGCCCGCGCCGCCGCCTCGTCCACGATGGAACACCTCGTTGGGCGCGATCCGCACCACCCGCCCGTACTGCGCGTGCAACGCCAGCACCACGTCGTGCCACTGGCCCCGCAGGTAGTACCAGTTGCGCCACATGCCCGTGAACCGTGCGAGAACCGGGCCTGGGACCTTGGACAGTGGGTGCAAGAACTGGCGGTACAGGACCAAACATACCAGGCCTGCTGCCACGGCCACCAGTGCAAGCCTGGTTGGCGTGTGAAGGTGGCTCGTTCCCGCCATGATGGTGGACGTGGCGCCGACGCATCCGGGCTTACTGCTTGGCAGCCAGGTGAAAAGGTGGCTAACCATGCTGGGGATTTCCTCCCGTCAAAGTAATAGGTGGAAAGGAAAGCTATGCACAGCACCGAGGAAAGAGAATAACGGGTAGGGTGTATTGGTCCGCTGGGAGGAATCCGGAGCCAAGTTACCATATTTCCCCCGAATTCTGGCAGCCATCAGAGCGAGCGCCTTGGGGATTTTGTGGCAGCACACCCCACACTTCGTCGATCACCTTCCCGCTTGTATGTGGGGGATGCGAATGTAGACGACCCTGATTTTCGTCTGTCTATTTGCTGATTGTACACGTCAGCAAGGATCGACTCCAATCCGCACAGGGGGGGCGGGGGGCGGGCAGATGTGGGGTGGGATGAATCAAGACTGATCCATCCAAATTGTCGGACCTGGCATATCAGCAACCCTCTGTTAGGGAATGTGGTAACGCAAGGGTGTGGAGGATGAAGGGGGAGAGGCGGGAGTGCTGGGCAGGACTTCTTGCAGGGTGAATACATCGACGTCTCCTCATTTGGTATTGCTGATGCACAGAGCTATGTATATCTAGCAGTGACTTGGGTGAACTGGACTGCATACAGGAGATAAGCAAACTGTCTATATGGATAGCACTCGGCTGGTTACAAAGCCCCGCCTGACTGGCTTGTGCTCATTGTCGCTCTGCGAAAGCGCGTTTGGAAAGGACTCCGGAGACCAGTGCAAGTATTGGAATCACAACAAGAGAAAAGAACCACGTGAGATGCTGACTAGCTGAAACTCCAAGCTATATAATATGTACTCAAGTGCAATCCTATCAACAATAGATACATCCCACCACTCAGGTGCGATAGTGCTGAGTGAAGTCGTACTGTAGCCGCTCCGCCGCCTTCGCGAGTTTCTCCGTCACAGCCGGATCCGTCTCGGCCGCCTTGCATGCCCGGAGAAGGTCCGAATCCTGGAGTGCCGTCTCTGGGTTCTGCTCGAACAGCAACCGGATATTCCCGCTGGACGTTGGATTCACGATGGTGTTGTACTTGGACCGCCGAACGCTGTCGTAGATGTCCAGGATGTCTTCATCCGCCTGGCCGGAATAGATGCCGGCGAGGCAGTCGAGGAGTCCTCCCACGTCCACGATTCCACCCGTGAGACCAAGGCCACCAAAGGGGTTACATACTAACCGAAGATTCAGTTCTGTCAGGTACGCAGGAGCGATGCAGGAGGGAGCCAGGAGACAGAGGGAAGGGGCACTTACGGTGTGCAGCATCTGCAGCCAGAAGGAAGCGACCGACCCGCATCTTCTTGGCCAATCGCTGGTGCACCTTGTAAGGACTGAAGTTCACGATCTTGTAGTCGCTCGGCTCGGGATGGGCGGGCTAGGATTGATATCGGCCATGCCCGGGCTCCCCACGAGAATGGACTGGAAGTCTATCTCCTCCGACAATTGGTGGTTCACCACATGGGAGTCGGCTGCTTGAGCTGGGGCCGAGGCCCCCAGTGAAGGGTCAATCATCGGGTCAAAAGTCCCAAGCATGGGAGTTGGCATCGAGGCGATCGTTGGACCGGAAATCGCCCGGGCACTGTTTGGTTGCAGGTCGGGGCACTCGTCGAGGTACCGCTGCAGGCCTTCCAGGCAGGAGGCGTCCATCCCAGTGGAGCCATCCAGATGGGGCAGCTCCCAGTCATGAACCATGACATCCGGGAGCGGACTGGGCGGGGAAACCGGCGGAGTGGGTGAGGGCACCGCCGCCAGCCGGGCGCCGGAGCATCAAAAGGGTGACTTATATCCAGTAACATGATCCCAGATCCTGCACAACAGGCAATACAGGCAGTCAATCCAACGAAAAAAAAGATTCATCTATCAACTGTTGAAAGATGACCGCAGACACCACAAAGAACATCGAGTTTATTGGTGACATCCCTTCCTTACCCCGCCTGCATCAGATTGCTTAGGGTTGCCCGTCGTCGTGGCCTCTGCTAACCGCGGTGAGTCTTCAGGCCTGGGTGCCATGGGATACGCCATGGCCCAGAATGTGCGCAAGAGCATGCCGTCAACAGGGCGGCTGTACATCTTTGGCGTCTTTCGCAGCGCATGTGAGCGGTTCCAGACCGAGATGGAGGGGACCAGCGCGGTGGTGGTGGTTGACTCTGCTCGAGAAGCCGTGGAGCAGGTGCCGACGGTCATCTCCATCGTTCCCAACGCCGCCGACGTTCGACAGGTTTACCTCGACGAGGAAAACAGGGTAATTGCAACCAGACGGATCCCCGAGCGTTTGATCTTGGAGTAGAGTACTATTACTGCTCGAGCCATCCGCGTATTGTGAAAGCAGTCTAGCCGAGTTTATTATGATTGCTTCGCGGATATAGTGCGGGGGACCGACGTTCGGAGATCCACCACATCACCTCCCTGCAACAACCCCCATATAACAAATTCTGCAGAACCTCGTATGAATTGACGACTGGATACTTAAGCCACCGTCTCACTATATTCCATCTTCCCTTTTATTCCCTTGGTGTATGATTCTACACATATCAGAACAACGAAAACAACCACACCGCAGGAGCAGTATGTCCGACTTCGACCGGGAGCTCCCCGAGACAGCCGCTTTCGTTGACGCGAAGCTTCTAAACGGCGGCAGTATGACAGCACATTATCACAAGCTTCATGCCGGGGAGCCAGTTGTGGAGTTCAGAATGTACAACTGGGCCTTCTACATTCACCATCCGGGCCAGCAGAGACATATCATCTGGGACCTCGGGTTCTCGTCGGTGCGTCGCTCGGAATATGGGGTGGGTATGAGGACTACTTACTCACCAATAGCGGCACATCCAGGACCCTGACGACTATCCGCCCGCAGTCGCAGAGGGCCCCTTCGTCGAAGCCCATTTCCAGGCGCCCAGCGAGTCAATATCAGATCAGATCCAACGTCGTAGCGGGGTGTCACCGGATCAGATTGATACCATCGTTTTCAGGTGCGGAGGGACTTCCATTGCGAAGCATCGGCAGCAGCCCTGGACTAACTGACCCATCTTCTCACAGTCACGCTCACTTCGACCACTGCCGTCCCATCAGCCGCACGTTCCGCAACGCAGTTGCCTGGTTCGGACGGGGACGCGCGAGTTCTGCACGCCGGGACACTTGGCCGACCCGACCTCCTTCTGGGATGGCCGATTTTTCGACCCGGAGGACCGCGCGACCGAGAGGTGGCAAACCTTTCTGGGCCCTTGGATGCCCTTCGGACCTTTTCCCTATGCAATGGACTTCCTAGGCGATGGTAGCCTGTGGATCATCCAGGCCCCGGGCCACATGCCCGGGAAACCTGTGCGCATGCGCCCGGCTGGCGTCTGGAGACTGGATCCTGCTGGGATCAGATTGCTGTCACTCACGGTATGATTCCTTTTCTTGCCTTCTACCAACAGCGAAGATGCGAGTGCATGGGGGAAAGAGGAGGTGCAAGATAAAAAAGACGAAAAATGAAAAATTGTGCTCACTGTTACGTTTGGAACTCTATCTAGGGCTCTCCTGGACGGGGTCAAAGACTTCGCCAGCTTCCCGCTCCCCGGAGGCACCCATTTCTGTTTGCACACCGATCTCGACGCGGCGCAAGACACGGTAGCCCGTGTGCGGTATCTGGAGACGCACCGAGGGGTGCATGTTGCGCTGGCGCACGACACCTCCTTTATTGAGGATGGGCAGGACACGGTGCTATTGTCATTGCTTGACGAGGAGGGTCTGGACGGGTGGGGTGCTGCCATTGGCGAGCAGAGGCCTATCTAGTCCCCAATGTTCTTCGATTCTTGATGAAATGCCCCAAATGATGACTTGAGAGGAAGAAGAGTAAACCACTCGGGAATTGATGTGCAGAGGTGACGAAAGAAGAAACAAATAACAGGAATAAGCTCCCACACTCTACACCCTTTATGAAAATGCGGAGGGGGGGAGGGGGGCGATATATGTTTAGCGTCCCAGGTGAATGGAAACAACCCTACCCCACCATATTTTCCTTGGGGAGAAGCCTTGAAGCCGGCAGATGAGGCCAGCTGGGGAAAGCCCACATTGCATGGGATACAACCCTAATTCATTTAGGGATGCAAGTACCTCTATGCTGGTGAATCTCTAGTAGCGATACCACATTCGACCCAAGAGACTTATAATATCACCCAACACGAATTCATGTACATACACAATATACAGTAAAAATTCAACACTCAATCTACCACCATCCCCTGCGCATTCACCTTGACCGAACTCAGCATATAGCCCTCCTCCTTAGCATGCTGCCAGACCCTGCGGATCAACCCCACCACCTTGTCACTCCTCGGGACGAATCGCAACTCACTGGGCTTGGGAAGAGTGTTCATCCCCTCCTCGTACGCGGCGTCAGACACATCAACAGATCCGATCCTCCCGTCGTCGGTAAGCGGGGGGAGGATCTCAAAGGCCCATACCAGGCACGCTATGGTGATGAACAGGCTGTTCTCAGCCAAGTGCATGCCGGGGCAAATGCGGCGGCCTGCGCCAAAGTCGAAATGATCGCGGGCGTACGGGTCGGCGTGAGCGGCGTATGCCCCCGCCTTGAGGGGGTGCTGGAGATACCGGTCCGGCACAAAGTCGTCTGGGTTCTCGTAGCGCGCCGGATCGAAGTGTAGCGCGTATTGATTGATAGCAACGGTGGTGTTGGCGGGGATAAACCAATCTTTATACACAACGTCCGCCGAGGTGTAGTGGGGAGAGCCCAGGCTGTGAGTAGAGGGGACGAGTCAGTATGCGATAAGCATCAGGGTGCTTGGGGTGATATACGTGGTGACCGGGCGGAGTCGCAGAATTTCCTTCACACAAGCACGGATGTAGGGCAGCTCCGCCTCATCGCGAAAGCTAGGGAGGCGGTCCTCACCCACCACACGGCGGAGTTCCGCGAAGGCTTTCGCCTGGGCTTCCGGGTAAGCCGCCAAGTACTTGACACAGGAGTTGAGCGCGGAGGAGGTCGTCTCGGAACCTGCCTCAATCATTGCTGCAGAGAAACACCATTAGTCCACCCGTCGGCAAGGGGCCGAGAAATGCATGATTAGAACATACTTCCGGCAACAAAGCTGGCTTGCAGCTCGCTGATACCCACTTTTTCATAGTCAGTGTTGATGAACTGCTTCACAAAACAATCCGGGGCTTGGTTCTTCTCCATCTGCGTCCGGAGACGGTTCTAGTATTTTATCCAGATGACCGCCTGTCGGTTGAAGGACCGGAGGGCGGCCTTTCTCCACCACTGCATCCACTGGGGGAGGTATGCCAGCACCGGGAAGGTCTCGGCTAAGTATTTTCCGGGCGTGGCAAATTCGCTGAACTCCTGCATTAACCCGTAAATCTCGCGGATGTCTTCGCATTCCTGAAGTAATGGTGCAGGAGTTAGCGCTGAACTCGACCGGAGGGAGAGAACCAAACGAAACAATTACCCATACTGGGACGCGGCGTCTGTAGGTCGATGTCATCACCACTGGATTTGAGAAAATTAACACCGGACGGCCGGGGAATGTGACGGCGCAACAGGGACTGCCCACGTACCCGAGGTCGTATACCGTCGAATATGCATGTAGAAGTTCTTCTGATTGTCGTTGTTCGTCAGAATATCTCACAGCAGCTGCTTGGCCTCAAACTCCTGCGACGGAATGAATTCGTTGGATGCTTTCGGGGTCAGAAGTTTGTGCACGATAACACGAAGCCGCCGCCACTCTGCCGAGTAGGGCATAAGGAGGAACCTGAAGACTCCCGTACACCCTGGTTAGTGGACTGCATGGCGTTTCTTGGACAAGATGCGTCTTTCTCCCCTTACTCACCTCATTCCGCCGGAGAGCAAATCAGATACCACGGGGCTCGGTGCGCGTGAGGAAGTGTGCTGGGACTGCTTGTCGAAAATCTCTTTCACCGCCGAGGGACTATTTGCATAGATCCAAACTTGGCGCCCGAAGCGCACCTGGAACAGTTCGCCGTACTCGACGGCCCATTTGCGGAGTTGTTGTTGGGGATATGCCCCCATGGCAGTGACATTCCCAGCAACAGGCACCTCCCGGAGTCCTTGGGGCAGTTTCCGTGCCCTTCCGACTCGCAGGACCACGAACACTGTAGTGACAGCGAGAATCGCGACAGTAATAAGAGCCATTGGTGCCAGACGAGGGAATCGGACAGTTAATTGAGTGGTGTACAGGGGTGGCTTTTTGACGGCTGTGCGGCACCAGAACTTGTCAATCTGGCGGGGTAGGGCTATTTGAAATGCAGTGAAGGAGGCAGACGGAGGGATACTGGGGAAACCCAAGCTTTTTCACCCCACATGAATAGTCCACTCTTTTACCGCACCCGGGTTTTACTCAAAACACTACACCGACACTCACACCTTACAAATCCACCGAGGTCGAATGCCCCTCAAACGCGCGGAAAAGATAATTGGGGCCCCATCGTCTCAATACAACCGCGAAGCCCGCCGCTGTTCACGTGAACATGGAGACCGGGAGAGCACCCAGCTGCCTGCCACCCCCTCGGAGGGACCAGATCTACGTCGTCGTTCACCCCATTGACAGCGGTCAGATCACTCTGCCCGAACGTTACTTTCTCTCCCCCAGTGATCCCATCGCGCGAGAGGGGACCGAGTTAGAGGTCGTCATGGCGCACGACGTCCAGTGGTGGAAGAACCTGCGATATACATGCGGTGTCCCGCCCACTGCGATATACATGCTGAAATTCGACTTTGTATCTTGCTTACTTATCTTATAAATAGCAGAACCAATATGAGTACTTTAAAGGCAGAACTCTACTCTGAATGCCTCTCTAGGTTGCACTAATTGCCTTAAAGGCCCCAATCGGCCTGATTTAGGGTTGCTTGTCCAATGCACCCCATGCGGACCACAAACGTGTGAACTCAATACCCTTGATACCCACCCCAGTGCCGAAATTCACCTTTGGCAGGAATAGTTGCTCATGAGGGTTTACCGACAAGCCTGCTCTTGCCAAGGACATCTAGATTGTAGTATGCTAAGAGTATTCATCTATGCGGGGTGAATGCCAAGAGAAGGCTTCCCGAACGTATGTGGGGTGGATACCAAGAATACCTCACCCTCTCTATGTGCTGTGCGGGAAGTGCGAAAGTAACTCTTTCAGTACATGATTGTAGTAAGCGGAGTTGAATTATCGTAGTCACCGGCAACCGGCGAAAGAGCACCCTATCTGTCACATTCGAGGCTCTGCACAATACATTAATCAGTCGGCCAGGGTCTCGGTCAATATTTATACCAGATGATGACTTTGAACAATGCAGAGAGATCCTAGTAATGTACACGTCGCTCGGCATCATATACTAGTGCAGAGTAGCAGGAGTAGTAGGGCTTTTAGGATATAGTATTGAAACAAGCAAGAATAATAAAAAGACAAAAACACATACAACAGAAGGGATTCGCTGGTGGTCACCCACCCAACTACTAACCTCCCGGCGTGTGGCTTAAGTACGGCTGAGCGGACGGGAAGCCCTGTTTTCCACACCCTGTGGTCGTATGTGCTGGTTTTAACTGGGGCTTGAATGATATCGTGTTTTGGAGAGTTTATTACTTGACGCGTTGCCAATGATCACGGAGCCAGTCAAGTAGGTGGGTTTAGGAAGCCGAAAACAAGTCACTAAGACCGGAATGGTGTCCTAATTTATTGTTCTATAAGGTCTGATGGTTTGACGAGGTCTTCTGATTTGATTATGTTTTCTAGTTGAATGAGATCTTGACGTTCAATAGTACTATTTCTAATATATAATATATTTTGAGAAAGTTTGTTTAGGATATTAATAATATCTTTAAATAATTGATAAACAATTAAACAAGCTGAAAAAAGTAATAACAACTAGTCTGGGATACTCAGTGACAACTAACATACACCTTCTGTTGTATGTATCTTTTTATCATTATTTTTCTGAGCAATTCATAGAGTTTAGTTAGTGCCTGTGCCGCTGGGCCCTCATAATCCTCTATCAGTACCGCTTCAAAGTCCTCTTCTCCGGACGTTAAGAGCCAGAGCCAAATCTGTCGTAAAATAAGAACTGAGAATCGTTGAAAGTTCTCCTTCTTCAGTAGGGATGAACTTCAATTTAGTACATGTCAAATTTGCCCCGTTGGCATTATAATGCCTCCTATAGCTCAAAATTGAGTTCTATAGATCACCCATAAATACCACCATGTAACTATATCGGGGTTATATCGAGCAGCCATGTTCTGCGGAGTAATCTGTCTGGGCCTTGGATAATACGACGCCTAAATAAGTTAGTTTTATATACCAAGCGTACAGAGTAGTACGTCCACCTCCGAGCTGCTCTTTCCAAGAATGCCAGCCCCCGTCCGAAGTAAAAAGACACTCGCGGTTATGCCTCAATCTTGTCAGGGAAACGTCTGCGTCTCTCTTCTAGCAATATTCATATGCCTTGAGGAACAGCTGAATATATCTCCGTCGACTTCGTTGACGATTTCCTGCCTTGGCGGTGTCCGGTCGCCGGTGCTGGATGGTTCTTGTTGTGAGTCATCACGAGCTTTCTCGTAATCAGCAGATGTTTTAGGATTTGCTAGCATCAACTATATCAATCTAAGTTACCTATGAACTCAGGAGAATTTGCTGGGGCCAGAATGAGAGACAAAGAGGAATTATTATGTATCTGATTATACGAGTGCCCGATAAGAGGGACCGTGGTTCTGGCATTGGGATTACGATTTTATGTTGCATTTATATTTCGTTCTTTTTCTGAGTGTTCACAACGGATCATCTGTTCCCGTGAAACCAAAGACGCTATTGTCTCTTTGAAAATACAATTTTGACAATCTGCCTCTCACCCTTGCCTCCCATATATTAGGTGATATATAAGTACATAAATATAATCTTTAACTGGTTACAAGCTAAGCTATCCTCTACAGATTCCCGAATCATAGTCACACGTATATATAATCTATATAAGTCAGCAGAATCATCGCGAAATAGCAGCTCTTCAGAATATAGAAGAGCACTTACTATTGTTAGTAACCGCAATATCCAAAAATCAAGTAGAGACTGTCTGTTTCAAGTATTTTGGGTTCGTCGAGATAAATAGTGCCGACACTATTCCCAGTGGAAGGGAAGGAAAATTATAAGCTCCGAAAAGGAAGGCGGTTGACTAGTCACAGTTACTAAAGATAGTGTTACTCGGAGTTCACAGCAGGCCTGTAGAGTTGAGAGGCAATTTGCGTTCTCAAATCTAAGGCTGATTATCAAAGAGAGGTCCACTAATGACTAAGGAGGGTTAGTTGAAAGTCGTTGTGGTTAGACTATTGGCCAAGGCAGTGGACTATATCAACACTCATTCAATAGGTGATTCCTTAACCAACAAACTTGAGAATATCTGCTACATTCTAGCGTTTGATGTTGCTTGGACCTCGCCGCCAGCTGGGCAACTTGATTGAGGGCTTGGTTGGCAACTTTACGGTACACTCTCTGAATGTAAATCATATGATATTCACAGATCAGCTCAGCGTAACATGAGCCTGTTCGTGTTATAAAATCCAAGGGTGCTATGCTCAGTATCATCCAGCGAGTGACATGTGGGATTTGGACTGGATCCAGGGCTTGGGTGCGTAAAACCTTCGGCCTGAGTTACGCCGAAGTAAACCACCCTGCTCCAGCGACCACCCCACCGTAGGCTTTCACGAGGACTTAATGGCAACATCCTTTAACTCTTGTAGATAATCATCAAGGCTCTGGATTTGGACTGCTGGCACCAGCTGGGATTTCTCGATATATGATGAAGCTGGAGATAGCATCGCGTGAGTCGGGGAAAACTCTGTGGCCGGGACTGTCGGGGGTTGGGGATCATCCACCACTCACCGTATTTGTTCAGCTTGTACCATTCCTTCGAGATCGAGTTGAGTTTGGTCTTACTCAAAGTCATCCTGGGGATCTTTTCGTTGAAATCATTGGCCTTGTCGTGGATGTACTGGACCTCAGTGCCCATGACGTCCCAGCCGCCTTCCAGGGTCTCGATGGCCTGCTTGGCGGGGTCGATAAGGTCGCTGAGTTCCTTGGCCTGACTCTTCATGAAGGTGACGTTGGCCTGGAGGGTCTTGTGCACTTGTTTACTGGCCTCTGCGTCCTTGATGAGTTTGTTCATCGCCTCGATCTTGCTCTCGTAGATATTAATTTCCTCCTGCAGCTGAGCGAAGATCACGGTTGCGGCAATGGTGCCTACGAGGGGACTGATCGCGCATGCCCGCGCGGATGATTAGCGACGGGGTCCGAGCATTTGGAGACGAAGGGTGAGGCTTACATCCAGACGTAGGCGGCGGTCATCTCTTGCTCGAAACGATCTATCTTAGCGGTTAGTTTCGACCGTGGCCTTCCGCGGACCCGAGTCATCCGAAGTTCACGACATACCATGATCGATGATGGCCTGGTAGCCAACGATATCGGCCTGATGCTCTTTGATCTCATTCTCCAGATCATTGATGCTGCCCGGCTTCTTGTTCAGGATAGACTTCATGGAAGTTTCCAGGCTCTCCAAGGAAAGCGACCACCATATACACTTCAATCGTATCCTGCGACGAAAACCCCGCCTGCTGCTTCACCTGAATATTCACCCTTGCCATCTGTACCCCGCTTTAATCTATGAAGCTGACGTGGTCTTTTCTCGGAATAAATCGCGCAAGTCAACGCAATGGGACTTCGGCTTGGATGTGCGAGTTGCGAGATAAGTTTAGCCAGAAACCGTTGACGGTGTCCCTCCTCGTGACCCCAATCTTTTGCAAAATAGTTAAAGAGACTTTAATATTGAAATTGAGAAGCTGGCTGAAGAAGCTCTCCAATACGTATCCATCAGTTCCACAGGCTCTCGACCTCCCCGACGTTTGCAAAACTTGGCCGTGCCCGTGCCCTCTCCAGTCCCTGCATGGTAACCCTCCCGCGCCTTGTCGGTAGCCTGCAGATCCAGGTCCATAATCTGGCGGGCTTGCCTGATCGTGAAGCTGGTGAAGTAGAAAAAAAGCGTCTTCCAAGGCAAACAGTCGAGCCAAGCCGAGAATGCTCTTGCGGAACATGTTCTGTCATAGCAAATAACGTCGTATGTTTTTCTACCAGTCAGTAAGTCATTCAACGTTTAATGTCATTCAGAAGTGAGATGCGTAGGGCGAATAAAATAAGTAAGTAGATATACAGATACCTAAGTCACCAGGTCTTTATAGTAATTCAGTAGGCATTCAATAGATTAACTATATCATAGAGTTTACTAGTATCATTATTGAAAGACTATATTTCCTGGTTATTTACGTTTTCTGTCTGGGTAACAAATAGTAAACTGACATTGGCGTGGTCTACATTTACTGATGTTCTTTACTGTTCACTATCCTGCAATTAACTTATATTGAATATGACGTACTGCAATACTGAAGGGTAGAGACACCAGGGTTTGACACTGACCCCAGTCTCTCTGAGACCTAGGTTTATTCTAAGGCTCCTAGCGCGAAATTGCTAGGAACAATGAAGATGGAGCTACCCTGTGCTTCTAGGACCGGTATTTGGGAGACGGTTCAGGTTCCTATGATTGTTTGGCTAATATGTAGATTATTGTGTGAAGGTTAACTCCAGTTATGTCCTATCTTATACTTCTCTGTTCTTTCTAATGATCGGTGTGTAAATTCGAAGTATCATCCTAGGGCTGCTTCATATCACATAGCCCCTTATCAATATCTTATTAATCCCTTGCTTATCTCCAGCTATGTACTGGCCTAAATAACCATCAATTCAAGCGATGCTTTAGCTTCCACGTTTTATCTAGTAGCTAGCGTTCCTACGCCTTAATACTTCATATACATGGAATTCATGTGCGACTGGTGAGTACTATTGGAAGCAGCTGACGAGGATAACAGTCAAATCCTCCGCTTACTGCCACCCTTGAATGATGATGATATTGAGTGCGGGGCAACTTTTCTACTATTTTCTAGATACCAACTCCTTGTATTCTCGGTATAATGATCGCGATCAGGGTCTCTGAGGATACATAAAAGAATGTCACGAACCTGCCTTACGTGGTTATGTTGTCAAGGGTTAGCTAAGAATCCAGCGAGGCGCCAGGTCGATACCGGCTCTTGTATTCATTGAACACCCTCACAACATCCTCAGTTAATTCCGACGGTGCAAAAATAGATGACCGGTTCATCTTTGTCAAGTCGAAATCAGTCTTCACTCGGCCGGTAGAAAGCAAAAGCTCAACTCCCTCTACATGTTCCCTCTCAGCCGCGAGCATAAGCGGTGTCATACCATTCCCATCCTTCCCATCCGGATCGACCCCCTTCGCAAGCAGCAAACGCACAATATGCGTCCGTCCTAGTTGTGCCGCACTCGCGAGTGCCGTAGTGCCGTGTTTATTTAGCAAACTCGGATCAACCTTCTTGTGAGCAAGAAGAGCCTCCACCACATCCGTGTGCCCAGCCGCAACGGCCGTTAACAAAGCCCGGCTCCCGAAGTTCGGCTGATGGTCGGGCTCCACGGTAGGGATAGCAAGGAGCATTTTCACGATGCGCGCACACCCGGTCCTCGCGGCGGCCAGAAGCGGGGTCTCTCCACTTTCGGATTGGGCGTCCGCGTCCACGCCTTCAACTGCCAGAAGGCGCTGGACGACCCCCAAATGCCCGTTCAGGGCTGCGGCCATCAGCGGCGTTTGCCCAAACTTAGCCTTTGCGTTTGCGTCTACCTTCCCCGTACCCAGCAGTTCCCCTACTATATTTTCTGCTCCCGCAGCTGCGGCAGCCATAAGGGGTGTTTCCCCGCGCTTGGTCCGGCAATCCGGCTGGATGTCCTTTGCCGATAGTAATAGTTTCACGATAGCAAGGTAATCGCCCGCCTTTGGATGCACAGCTTCCGTGATTGTTGTTGGCCTGGGCGAAATGCACGCCGTAGATGGAGAAGGCTGGCCGTACCCTGCCGCCCAGGCGAGTGGAGTCTCGAGATGCGCGTCGGGCGCATTTGGGTCTACCTTCTCCGCGCAGAGAAGAATTGCAGAGACCTCGGTATGACCGTTTCCGGCGGCCCACGAAAGAGGCGTTCTGTGCTGCGGATCATGGATGTTGGGGTTCGCGCCTTCTTGCAGCAGGCGGTTGCAGGGGTCTGGTTTGCCGTGTTGGGCGGCCCATATCAAGGCTGCGCTACCTTGATGGAAGATTTGGTGATGATAGAGAATGGGGTTAGCGATAGCGTACAGTATTTTAGATGTCTTGGCGAAAGAATTCACATCTTGCACCGATGGGAGGAGGAGGGTGGTGATGTAGAAGAGTAATTCGGCTGGGAGGGTTGGTAAAGACATGTTATCCAGAGGTGGGATAGGATGAGGACTAAGATCATGTAGGTACTTCAACGCAGGGAAAAGTTGTCTGGTTGTCTGCGGTGCCTGAGAAATGCCTCAAACATTAGGCACTCAACTCCTAAGGTAGTCTATACTTGTCGGACAGATTGGAGAGAGTGCCTCTCCATTTGTCAACAGGACACGCATGACATAGTCTGCCGCTAGATGAAGCCAACCTGAAGGCAAGGTGCATTGAATATGAGTGCCTGGCATATCTGTTATTCGTGCGAAATCTGTCTTAATTCAGGTAACGCCCATTTCATTGTGATCGTATGTACTGGTTTTCACTCGGGCTTAAATCATATAGTTAGTTTCTTGGAGAATTTACTACTTGACGCTTTGCCAATGATAACGGAGCCAGTCAAGTAGGTGGGTTTAGGAAGCCGAAAATAAGTCACGGATTGACCTTAAATATCAACGCTTTTAACGGCTTGGATCTCTAATTTTCTCATCTGGGAAAATGGCTCGTTATAGATATGTTTTATTGCTGGCCACTTACCAGGATGCGTATTCTCAATTCGGTATAAATACATAAAGTATAAATACTGTCAAATATATGCAAAGAAACCGAAATATGAAGCTCAATATCGACAACGAAAGTAATTAAACCCCAAAAGTATAAGAATATAAAACAAATTCTATATGCATATGCAATCTCCCAACACAGAAACAAAACAAAACCACAGAAGCAAGCCACAATATGCATACACATACCCCGAAAAATAACAAAACAACGAAACAAGAACAAACAACACCATCATGCAATCTATATGACATCTATAAATCAATCTCATCTCCTCAAAAATCCAAGTATCATCGTCTATCCCAACAACTCCATAATCTTCTCAATCTCCTGCGCAATTTCATCAACAAGCTTATGCACTTCTTCAACACTCATAACACCTCCTTCAGCTCGAACACCGAACCCGATTGAATCCGTCTTGGCATCTGGACCAACATCGATGAATACATTTTCTGACGGTAGGAATTCCGTTTCGAGTGCCGAGACGGCAGTGACCTCTTCAGCCAAAGGCTGTTCGGGAATGAAATCTGTAGGGACACCGATCCGCAACGGGGAGAAGAAGTCCTCTGAGCCAACTGACGTGGTAGTAGTATCTTGGGTCCAAAGAAGGTTCACCCAGGTGTTGAAGAGGGGTTTTTCGGGTGAGATCCACTGGAGGATGCTGCGGAGAGAACTTTGTTCGTAGGAGACGCGGTCCGCGAGAGAGGATTGGATAGCGCGAACTTGGGTGAGAAGGTCGGTGTTGATGGAGTTGGTGTTTGCGTTGGGGATGGTGAAGGGGTTGACGTTCAGACAGGGTCCGGAGAGGTTTTCGATGTTGTTGAAAGAGGCAGAGCGACCGGCTTGGTAGAGACCCATGGTTGGGTTTTGGACGTTGGTGAGACGTGCGATGCAGCGGGCTATGGCGAAGAGAATGACGGTTTGAAGGCTGACGTTGGAGGATCGGCATTTTGTTTCGAGCTGGGAGAGATCCTTGACCTTTTCCCAGACTCCGATGAAGAGCTGGTCTGGAGTGGATGGGGTATCGGTGCGAGTGTTGCGGATAATGGTCGGCGAGGCGTCACCGAGAGTATTGTTCCAGTATTGCTTTTCATCGAGGTCCTGGAGAGAGCGCACTGAGAATTCGACGAATGAAGGGAAATCTGTGTTTGTTTCGGGGGTTTGGCCATGGTAGAGCTGTGCTAGCTCTTTAACGAACATCGGCATGGTCCATGCATCGTACGCGGCGTGGTTTATGAGGACGAGAATGCCATCTCTGTCGCTAGCTTTCAGTAGACGGAGTCTAACTGGAGGCGTGTAAAGTGAGGATGGGTGAAGAGCTTCTTCTCTTGCTTGCGCTTGGGCTGCTTCAGAAATTGGACTAGAGGTCTCGATGACCCGGAATGTGCTTGCATCACGCATTGCCTGTTTGAGAACAATCTGTACTGCTTCCGACGAGGAGGTAGCTGCAAAGCAGGTGCGGAGGATAGGATGTCTTTGACGGAGCTGGAACCAAGCTTCCTCAATCTTGGCACTGTCGATGCGCTCGGAGCAGTGGTATGCCCAAGCAGGTTCGAGCAGTCTCCGCCCTGACTTCAACCAGCTGACGAGGTGATAAAATTGGCCACCGAGACAAGGTAAAATT